TGCAGACAAGATACTTATCATACACTTGTCGGTCATAAATGTGGTGTCATTTGTAGACAAGATACTTGTTACATATCGTTTACAAGTGTGTCATTTGCAGACAAAATACTTGTTACATGCCTGTCGTTTATAAGTGTGGTGTCCTTTGTGGACATATTAATGAAATTTTTTTATCTTAATTAAAAATGATAAGGGTCAACAAATAATAAAATTATAAAAGGAAAGGAGCAATAGGAATCAAAACGCTAGATTTTAGTGTGAACGAACTTGTATTGAGTTATAATAACATTAGTATAAACAGACATTTCATAGCCTGTCATCAGGCTATCCTTAGTGTGGAATAAATAAAATATATATGAAAACGCACGCTGATTTACATTAAGATCTGAGTTAAAACAAATACAATTTAGACGCAAGATTTGTTGTAAAATTAATAAAAAAAGTTAGTTTTAACATTGATATAATCAATGTTAGTTTGTCGGTTTTACAAATAAAAACTCGTCGGTTTTACAAATAAAAGATAGAAGAAAAAATTAAAAATTAAAAATTTGTACACAAAATTTTAATAAAAAAAGTTAATTAAAATAAAATAAAATAATAAAATTAATTAAAATCATTTAATATTCGAGATCAACAAGTTAAAGAAAAGTTAGTCAATAAAAAATAATAAAATAAAATAAAATAAAATTTATAAAATTTATGTTAAGATAAATAATAGTTTTTTATTATTGTATGAACTCTTCCCCGACTGCCTCTTCTGTTCCCCCGGCCACCTCTGTTGTTTTGGCTTCCTCTTCTTCTTGTTATTCCAGAAGGACCTGGTCTAACATGATTGTCATATTGTAAATTTCGCCGAGCGTACCACCGTGCACGCGACCAACCACCTCCTCTTCTTTTTTTTCTAAAAATAAACACATTTATAGATTAATAATTTACAACAATTATGCATATGAATAAATCATTTAGTTACAAAAAAATAAATAAATATCAATGGGCTTGTTCGTTTTAGCTACACTGGGGCTGCTCTGGGTCTGCTCTACACAGGATAATACAGGACATATAAATAGTAATTATAAATTTGTCCTGTATTATCTTGTTTAGAACAGACCCAGAGCTGCCCCAGTGCAGCTAAAACGAACAAGCCCAATATATATGAAAGAGGCTAATGGAGCCACCGTTGGTTGTTAGCCATCAATGGTTGTTAAATCCGTAGAAAAATATCCATTGCTAAATACAGCTGAAAAAAAAGTTTTATTAATTTTATTAATTAAAATAAAAGTTTTCATATGAATTTCTTATTATGCACTCTGCTGGAACAGATAACACTTAAGCTGGTTCTACAATAAGTTGCAAATGCCCCGTCACCGGTCGCGAAGGATGGCAACTACTAATTGGAAAGCGCTATTTCTAGTTATTTTTAGTAAGACGGAGCATTCGCGACTGGCGACGGAGTATTTGCAACTTATTGTAGAACCGGCCTTAGTTCTTGTATGTAATACGAGTACATACAAATTGTTACCTAATCTTTTGCCTTTAACCTAACTGATAGCCCGCGCAAAATACAGCATAAAGACAATATTTATAATTTAACCTTATCCTTTTATGGCTTCTGGGGGTCGACTCTGTATCATGCAATATAGTGAAAAAGACAAAAGTGAGCAAATTTACTATCTATGATCTTATTGATCAACACCTAGTAAATTTGCTCACTTTTATCATTTTCACTACATTGCATGACCTAGTTTACACCCAGCCGTTTAATTCCGATTCATTCTGGAGTAGACCTTTGCGCCGCCGCGCCACGCCGCCGCCTCCGATAAATTATTATTCGCCGATTTCGCCGCCGCCAATTTTGAAATTTTTGCCGGACGCCGCCGCCGCCGCCGCCGAAAATTAATATGACACGCCGAGAAAAAGCAAAATGCTATATATAGCCCCCTTATCCGGATAAATTTGTAAAATCGCATAAATATATGCATAAGGAAATTGATTAGCCCATAAACAAATGCATAAGAAAATGGACCAATCAATTTCCTTATGTATATGTTTATGCGACTATGCAAGTTTGTCTGGATAGGCTCTTATGGCCGGAGCACAGACTTTTGCATAAAGCATAACGCATAAGCATAA